TATATGCAGAACCCCCTGCGGCCCCCGCCTTAAACTCCGTTTCCTCTGGAGCACTGCAAAAGCAGGCGAGCTAGGGTTTAGGGTTTAGGGTTTAGGGTTTGGGGAGTAGGGTCTAGGGTTTAAAGCGTGAGAGAAAACCCTCGGATTACAGTTTAGGGTTTAGGGTCTGGGGGGCAGGGATGAGGACAAAACCCTCTGCCTAGGGTTTAAGGCTTAGGGTTTAGGGTTTAGGGTTTAGGGTCTGGGGTTTAGGGTTTAGGGTTTAGGGTTTAGGGTTTGTGTGTTGTGTTCAGAGCCGTTGCCCTCTGAGGAGCCGGAGCCCCTCGTCGAGCGATTGAGGGTATGGCCCTGAAACCCTAAACCCTAAACCCTAAACCCTAAACCCTAGCGTTAGAACAAGGAATTAGGGTTTAGGGTTTAGGGTTTAGGGTTTAGGGTTTGCGCCTTGTCCTGATGAATGTGGCTTGGTGTTTTAGGGGGAGCTAATGACGATACGCAGAGAGAAGAATACCATCCAAGTAATACCGTCCTGCTGCTGTTGCTGCTGCTGCTGCTGCTGCTGCTGTTGCTGCTGCTGTTGCTGCTGCTGTTGCTGCCGCTGTTGCTGCTGCCGTTGCTGCTGCTGTTGCTGTTGCTGCTGTTGCTGTTGCTGCTGTTGCTGCTGCTGTTGCTGCTGTTGCTTTTGCTGCTGCTGCTGTCTCCATTGCAATTATCCCATTGCTGCTGAGCACAGCACCTGCCTCTGTCTCCTACTGCTGCTGCTGCTGTTGCTGCTGCTGCTGCTGCTGTTGCTGCTGCTGCTGCTGCTGTTGCTGCTGCTGCTGCTGCTGTTGCTGCTGCTGCTGCTGCTGTTGCTGCTGTTGCTGCTGCTGCTGCTGCTGCTGCTGCTGCAGAGCCGGCTAGAGGAGTTGGAGGCTGCTGCGAAGGCTCACGCGGACGAGATTGTTGCTGTAGAGAAGCGGTGGGCAGCAGCAGCAGCAAAAGAGAAAGCAGCAGCAGCAGCAGCAGCAGCAGCAGCAGAAAAAGAACTGCAGCAAACCATGCGGCAGCTAGTTGTTTCACAAGCGAGAACAAGAAAGGCACAGGCGCAGCTTGAGCTGTCTAGACAGCAGCAGACAACACTAGAAAAAACACTCCAAGGGTAATTGCTGCTGCTGCTGCTGCTGCTGCTGTTGCTGCTGCTGCTGCTGCTGCTGCTGCTGCTGTTGCTGCTG